GAAGCCAAGCTGAGCGTGGGCCCTCTGCGTTGCCAAGGAGACAGTAAGTTCGCGCGTCGGCTGTGCTACACCTCATCACACTTACACAGCATTTCTGTGCTTCTCAGAGGATGCCAGCAAGCAGCTTTGCTCTTCTGTACCCCTACAGACACAGGATGGAACACACACAGGCACGTAGAGTCTAACGGGCTCCAGATAGGCCTTTATTCCTAAAAGTGAGCGGCAAGCGTAGCCTCTCCAGTACAGGAGCCCAAGTCAGGCATAAACTGTGGATACCCATCTTTCTTGTGTATTCATACATAACAAGCTTGAATACCTTAATTTACGATAATATGACTAGTGATGCTAATAGCTTGAAAGCAGCACTCAACAGCTGGGATTCCACTGAGGGCTGCTGTTAATGCCATTAGCATGACTATTTATATCACCATAAACTGAGTTTATGGTGATATAAATAGTAGCATTATGGCTTAATGTATCATTGTAAACTTGGATTATGGCCATATAAAGTTTGACATTATTGCTATCAAACTCCATCATCATCAACGCTTGTTGGTCCTTTGAAAGCCAGAGATGGCTTCTGGGAGTACACCTTGCTTTCAGGATCAGGCACCCCCGAAAAGTATTTGGGGCTGCGAGCTCAGACAGTGGGAGGTGGGGGAGTCAGAGCGCCGGTCCCACCTAATTAAGGGCACCATTAGGACTTTATGTAGTTTGATCCCCTTTGGTGTGCTCTATGAGTAGTGGAAAACAGCGCCGGGTTGCCATGGGGACACTGGGAAGGGCATCCTGAGTATCGTTTTCCTTCTCTTCTGGGCACGTGTGATTTGGGCAGCTCTCTGGGGACTTCTGTGCTTTCGCAACTGTGTACTTGGCACCGAGAGCCCTAGATTCTCCTCCCTGAATAACCGGCTTGCGCAGAGACCTCAGGCAAGCGCCTCCATTTTCTCAGCTGTGGTAATGAGTGCGCCACCCGCATCCAGTGCCTTCCGGAGAGGCCATAAAGATTTCAGTGCCTGGGTTTGAATCCCTCCTGAGAAAGCATTATGTGAGATGGAATACTTTTTCGCTACTTGTGTAAATCCATGGAGAATTAGATTTGGGTAATAATAATCGCATCCCCTCGCAGAGGTGTCCTAAGGTGCACGCTCAACAGTTTACTACTTAGTAAATCAAGGCTATCTGCGATTAAGCAACCAGAGGATCGTAAGACAAAACAGAGGTGGAACTGGTACTAAGTTTTCTCTTCTTACCTTGAGAAAATGAAAACGCAGCCCACAAAATTGAAACTGGCCAGAAAGATCTTTGCCACACATTCTTCAAATTAGAAGACCTCATTTGTCTGGTTGGACTTAATATAATTGTGCTGTAAGAAATTTAATAGCTGGGCTGGAGAGATGGCTCAGTGGTCTAAAGCACCTACCTGAATCAAGCTTGGTGAAGGACGGTGAGCACGGTTCGATCCCCAGCACCACATGCCAGCCAGCCCCGCCCCCTGGTGGGCTGAGCTGGCCACACACACACACACAATAAATAAATGTAATAAATAAAAA